TTCAACTCATGTCCCTGGCACTGAATATCCTGAAATTTAAAGACATAGAAATCAAAAATTAAAAGTAATTCTTTACCAAATCTAAAATTGATCTAATAAAGGGAATTTTGTTAATAATATAGTACTTACTAACTTAATGATCGATAAACAAAAGAAAAAAGGGAAAGAAATTGTATAGAAAACTTACAGATGCGAAGTGGTTAATGTCTCTGTGATGTGCCTCATCAGCCCTTATAACTGTGACAACATCTTTGAGTGTTGAATCAGGTGGCAGACGCCAATAATCAATGGCAATGGCTGGTGCAGGTTTGTTTTCAAACAAACCTTTTTCCAAATCTATCAGAAATTCAGTGTAGGAATTCACTGCCTCTTCTTCAAGATATCCCGTTATGCGATGAGCAAGTTTTGGGGAGGCCAAATATGCAAGAAAGTAGCCATTGAAGAACACACCCTGCACTGCAAAAACTAGTGCTCTTTCATACCATTTTGGCTGTGATAATTCAAGAAATGTCATTAGATGCATCCTTTCATTCTCAGCTTCTTCTAGTAATGCCTTGATCCATCCTCCACTGTGCTCGAATCGGCGCAGGGATCTGAGGTGCAACAGCATCCCTCCAACCATGCCTGGCACAGCTGCTACAGTTTCTAGTAACATTGCGTGGCACATGTGACGTCTCTGCAAAAAGTTGTATAAATATAGCTGAAATCAATATGAAGCTTAGTTTTGGCAAATAATGCTTGTCTACGGTTATATAATTCAAGTATCGAGTAGTTTGATTTTGTATTTTAGTATACTCCTATAAAGCTTCCCAAAAATCAGAATGCAACCTCAAGCATTGATTCTCTTAAAGGTGCCCTCAAATAGCCAAAAGTTTTCCAGTTCTAGTACTTCATACGGGAATGTCCCGATAGTGAAAATTATATAGTAAAAGAAACAGATTTTTTTTTTTTTTTTTTTTTGGGAAAGAAGAAATAGATTCATTTTGAAGCTGATGAAGCTAAGTGGCAACCTTGCACTTGAACTTTGAAGGGCTAAGTTGACACAATGCTCTGCTTTGCACATAGAAATTGTAGAGTTTAATTCTTGAGGGGCTCGATTGACACATTTTTCTAATATTAGATGGGCTCGATATAGCATAATTGTATAATAATTGGAACCCGTCCAAAAATCAAAGAGAAATGATAAATAGAATTCCATTTTTTAGCCTCATTTCCCACCTTTCTATTACTAAAATGTCTAGAACACTTGCACAGAAATGTTTAAAATTTTGATTGCCAATAAAAGCAGTATCTTATGGGTTTTTTAGCCATTTGATTAAAAAGATTGGATTGGGAGGGATGAGGCTGAAATATGGGTGAATTCATCATTTCCCACATCAATACAAAATTGTTGTAATTTAAGCCGCCTGAAATGTAGATTGGTTCTCTTAAACTGCCCCTCAAATAGCAAAAATTTTCCAGATTCAGAACACGTATAATAATCTTCCAAGCTTGACCCTTATGTTTAGCTAGCAAAAGGTGCAGGTTTCGAGCCAAGTTTTAGAAGTTTATGAAACAAAATGGAACTTTTGATATTTGAAGGGCTAAATTGACACAATACTATACTTTGACCACAAAAAAGTTTGGAAAAATAAAATTCAGTGGACTCGAATAACAATTTTGTACATTTTAGATGGGCTTAGCTTGAATAAACAGTTACAGTTGTTCAATCAAGTGCAATTTTAGGACATAAAATTTGTAGAATGAACTAGTATGTTTACCTGAAAGAACAAGGTGGTTGGATACTTGAGAGATTGCACAATCCAATAAGCTAATTTATCATTCAATGTGGTAGCCTCATGATGTTTCTTGACATCAATTGATGTGTCTGCTTTGTAAGTCTCCCATGGCTGTCAAATGAAACCAACTTCAAATTAAATACAAAATCTCATATTCAAACAAAATAAATTATTAAATTCCTGCTCTAAAATTCATCCTAAAAAATTGCCTTAACAACAAAAACAAATGTTAAAGCTTACCAATAGTTAATTACCAAATAACCCCTAAAGTTTGAGTAAGTTAAAAGTGAATACCAAACTTTGAAGTGTCTGCTTTGGCTGTCAAATGAAACCAATATCAAATAAAAATGCAAACTCTTATATTAAAACACAAAAATTGTGAAATTCGCATTTTAAGTTTGAGTACAAAAATGAACTAATAAAGCTTAGAAAGTGTATATTACCAAAGAACCCTAAAATTTGAGTAGATTAAAAAATGAGCTCTAAATTTATTGACCTCACAAATAATAACATATCCGACCATGGACTTGCTTGCATACATACCCTGAAACAATTCCACCTCCAAGGTGATCCATCTTCCTTGGTGATATTAGGAGGAGCCACTCCCCAGTAGCTTACTACTGCCTTATGATCAGCTTGACCTTCAGAACTGTCAACTGCCCCGGTTGGAGCTGTCGACGTCTTCTCTTCTTTCCCTACATTTGGAGCCATAGAACTCCAATTCCGAGCCCCTGGGATTGGATTCCAGATGCTGACTCCGATTCCTCTAATCCCTGAAATCTTAGAGGCTTCAGACACCATATTGCCAAATTTTGATGATGGCAAAACATGCTGTTGAAGCTGCCTCAGAAGTAGGCCAGAAAACTTCATTGCAGGTATGTTACGACTCATCTAGGAGATCGATAACGGCCTCTGAATTGAAAGAAAGAAAGTGAAACTAATGGAACCAAGAAATTTGGAAGAAGTAAAATATTTTTGGAGTTTATTAGTTAGTAAATGCAGATGATTGTTGACTGCTGGAGATGAGTGTTGGAAGTTTATATAAGGTCATGGTTTGTGATGAATAGTCAACGTCGATCAACATAGGAAGCAAGAGAGAAAATTCCTCGGGACATAATTGTTTAGACAGATGTAAACTAAAGAACGGGAAGGAAGAAATTTCTTTCCAAGTTGATTGGGAATCTCCAGGTCAACAAGGAACATGTAGGAGTAATGGATTACGTATATAATGTGTCTGTATTCAATGGATGCTTTGTGAACCTTGTTTAATCTTTTGAAAAAGTTAAAAGTACATAAAAAAAAAAGGTGATTAAATAGAAAAGTCAGAAAATAACTAAGGATCTACATTGTGTTTTGTATAATAATGACTCTCTGAAAGAAAGTTTACAATTATATTGACCCCTCTAAAGGTTTAAATGGATTTTGTTCTCCAGACCCAATTTAATTGTTGCATGTCTTAATCAGGTGACATTGAAAATTTTAATTTGACTTTCAAACCCTCCGTTTCTCCCTTCTCTCTTGTAGTATTCGGAGTCTCCCTTTGAACTATAAGTAAATAAATGGAACAAATCTTGGTTTAAGTGTGACGGGGTCGGATTTGATATATAAGCGTGAAGAAAAGTCTTAAATTTTGAGATTGCTTTTCTAATATTGGTTAATAACATTGGTAAAAACTCTACCCAATAGTTGTTTGATGAAAGATTGATGATCCCATCTAATTTAAGCTTCCATTTGAAGATTGTTGTGTAGTTATATTGGACGTGTATGTACATGCTATTGCATGAATTCTCAGGGAGATTAGAAAAATTTTGTACACTAAAGAGGATTTCTGCAAGGGTTTCTTTCCAACTCTGCAATCAATTTTGATTTGATTTTGAAATGGATATTTTTCTGGTCAGGAAACGTCCAAAGTTATAATGGACCGTTTGTAAATGTTTGTGTCATATTGGGCCTCGGCAAGTGCAACACGGGCACGGCAAGCAAAGAAGTTCAGATTTTGTTTGCAATCATGACTAGTCAAAACTCGTTAGCGGTTATTAATCATTTCGTGGAGGCTTAATTGTTCAAAATGAGAAGCACTATATCAACTTTTCCTTCAACAAAAATCCACAAAGCATATCAACTTTTTTTTCTTTTGGTAAATTACTCATAATTCCTTATACTTTGCATGATACCATATGACCCCTCTAAGATTCAAAATATACACATGATCCCTTTACAATTTTCGGTAAATTAGAAATTTAACCAAAATAATTTCCGTGATATCATTAGTTGAAATGCCACTATTGTTCTTACTTAGGCACTAAATAAAAAAGGGTCTAATCACTACACATAAAATTATGGAGGGATTATGTGGATAAATGCAAAACCAAAAATGGTTAAGTTGATATTTATGCAAAAATATAAGGGATTAAAATGGATATTTTAGTTTTATGACACGCACTTTTGGAGTGCATCTTGATCAATCGCTATAATCAGAGACATTTTTCATTAAATTTTCACTTTACATAAATCTATAGGAAGACAATTTTAAAATTTTAGGAGGGTCATGTAGTATTGTGCAATAATATAGAGGGTGTACGAGTAATTCACCGTTTTTTTTCTCTCTTATTTGGTCAAAAAGTTTTATAAACTATTGTGCGGATAAATCATATAATTAGTTTTTCATATCCTACGGAACCAAAATAATTTACAATTTGTAAACGCGGTATTCATTGTTCCCAAATCACAACTCGTACCGAATAAAGTGCCTGACAACTACATGCACATATACTTATTTGACAAAATCAAAAACAAATTTGGAACACATGACATAACTAGACGTATATAAGTCCGACTTTGTTTCTTCTTTTACTTTCTAGATTCAGTACATATTTGGAAGCTTTTATTAACTTTTTCCGTAAACACTTCAAGATATCATCTAGATTTTATTATTTCTACTGAATACTCAACAGTAAATTCACTGAACAACTACATAGTTTCCATATTAAACTTAGAAACTCATTATGTAGCAAAATCTCACTCATCACTTCATTAATAGACCAAAGGTACTTTAGCTATACGGCCAATCAAAAAAGTTATGCTTTGTTCAATAGTATGACCAAGGATACATGTGTGATCAATTTTTACTTGGATTTGAGCTAGTTGATTGGACATATGCTTGTTTGACAAAATCAAAGACAAATTTGACAAAAACTACATAATCCCACCCTTCGCTTCATTAATAGATGGTCATTATCCAAATGTACTTAGCTACACTGCCGATCAACAAGTTTTACTTTGTTCAATGGTATGACCAAGGATACATATCTATTTGATTGAAATTTCTTGCATTTGAGCTAACTGATTATTTTTATGAGAGCCACAACTCTACATAAACTTGCTAAGAAGTTAATTCAATGATGTTTAGGGACCCTAATATCAACCTTCTGGTCAGTGAGTTTACAATGATCAACAAAACCGCAGATGTAGAAGTAATGGCCAGGGCTCTTGATTTTGATGTAGTCTTTGCCTGACGAGTAGGTGGCTATGGGATTTTTTGCGTTGCATGCATGGTAGTCTTCCCGCCTCACTTGCACCACATTATGAAACCCCGGGTCGTACTCAAAATCTACAAACGTAGAATTGATCAAAGTTCAAGTGAATTAGAAATGGAAAATAAAGTACAATTATATGGGTTTTTTTTTTTTTTACTTTCCACCCCCCCTGATACCCTTTCCACCCCTAACTGTCAAGTTCAAGATGTATAATTATATGGTCTTAAACACATCGGCTTGATCCAAATTTGACACTTCTTAATGCCATATATTGCATCTCTAAAAAGATATGTAAAATTTGATACTTACACAGAATATCTCCAACTTGAAATTCTATGGCAGCAGCCCACTCAGTGTAGTTAACCACACACAACGACGACCAACCGCCAACATCACCCACGGTGTAAACAGTGGGGGAGACCCCAGAAACAGCCATAACAGTGAGGAGAAGTAGTATCGCTTTTTTCGCCATGTCCATGACTTGGAGAACTTCAGAGCAAAGCCAACATTTTCTTTCTTCAATCTTCATTCTTGTTTAGGTTATTTAGATGAAGGCAATCTAAAGCTTCAATGTACTATAAACAGATCCGTAGACAACAATAGATGGACTTTTATGCAAATCTAAGCTTCAATTTATTCTTATCATAATTAATTGAGCATGTACTTTTAGATGGATCATCAGTCAATGAGATTAACTACTTCCTTTACTGAAGAAGATAGCGACAAATTCTCTCTCTCTTTTTTAAATTTTCAGGGTAAAAAATAAGGTTAATGTCATAGTGGAAAGGTTGGTTGGAAGCTTATTAATATGTACACTGGAAAAAAATGATAAATTAATAATCTTGATTGAGGAAGAACATCATGTACTTTGGTACATTCAACTGTTAAATGCACGAACCATCCAATTTTATGAAAGTTTGGAGGAATTACCAAAGGCACAAATATACTATGTCAAAATGGACAAAATTTCTGAAAAACGTACCATGTGTTTGTAAGTAACATATGTTATAAAAGGCCGCTTTTATGTGATGACACTTATTTCCTACTCAGTAGAGCATTGACGTTCAAAGTTGCCTTGATTATCTGTGCAGACTGTGCTAGATGCGTTGAGATTATGATGGAGGATGTCATGAAATCAATTTCTTTCCTTTGAACCAACCTCATCACTTATCTACCAGATATAATGCCATACGGAAAAGAAAAATCTCCGAAAACAATAGCAATGTTCAAAATGACCAAAATGATGTTCAAAACACGAAAAAACCAATTTGACAATGCCAAATTTCTCCTTCAACAATATCAAGTAAGGTGTTTTCAATGGCCTTATAAGGAAGCTAATCAAGTGGCTTATTGCTTGGGGCGTTTCGTGAAATAAGTGTCAGATTGTATAAAATGGAAGAAAGAGGCTCCAAGATTGTTACAAGCATTCACTTGTAAAGATTCTTCATGAAGTGAAATTTAAATTCCTTTGTGATTAAAAAAATGGGTTCAAAACCAATATATTGCATTGATTACATGAGATCTTAATTGATCGTTTTATCAGTCAAGTTGTCGACTGACATTCTTCAAATAAAATCTATTTAATATGAAATTATCAATGAATGTATATGCTGCTAACTTGTATTGCACAAACATCAATCTAGGAAACTATAATATCATATCGTTTCTAGATGGCATTATCGTCAAAGCTAATTTCATGGCTATTGTCCTCTTTTTGCATTTAAGTAGTTCTCAGAGATAAAGATTAAATAAAGAAACAAGAAGGAAAGAGTTATCAAAAACTTACCAAAAAATAATCACTGCAACAGCCTTGAAGGCAAATTGAAGCACCGATGAAGATTGGATTATTTCTTTTCGGGGTTTTATGTAGTCTGAGAGAGCCACACGAGGACATTGATGCATTAATTAATTCTGGCAAAGAAAGAAGTATAAGAGGCCAGAAAAAAAAGATAAGACAGAAGTAAATGAGAGATTTGAAGTGTTAATGATCCATCATCTACTAACTAACATGTCTTCTAGTTAGTTAAAGCACCGACCTAGTAACGTCAAACACCAGCCCATGGAAGGGTTCGCGGTAGGCATGACCACAATTTCAAAAATCGTGGTTCTAGTTCTTTTGAAAGGTGGAACATGAACCGACTCTTATGGAGGCAGTTGCGGTTACAATTCTTGAACCTCCGATTTCGGTTTGGTTTCAATTCCAATTTTATTTTGATTACTGTTCTGGCTTCTTCTAATTACGGTTCCAGTTCTTTTAGTTATGCTTAGATACATGTTATTATAAAATTAATTCTAAAAAAATATGACAATGAATGTAAAAAAAATTAAGAACTTTATTGTTGATTAGATTAGATTGGTTTTGAATTTAGATTAGTTATGAGGTATAGATTTACTAATAGAATGGGACAATGGACTGTTGGGCTACGTTTGGAGCTGCTGGTGTTAGGTGCTGACTATTGATATTAAACTCTAAATTGGTCAAACAAATTTAGGTAGCAAATATTTTTTGGAACACTTTGAACGAGTCATAAATCGCCTGTTCTGATTTCAATTCAAAATTTTGATGAATCTGAAACTAAATCTTTAGTCATGTTTATGATTTTAATTCCAATTCAAGAAATCGCTAGATCGATTCTGGTTCAAATTTGAATAGTTGCCACCCTTAGTTGATGAAGAGTCAAAGTAGGCATATATACAAGATTCATTTTAACATTAGGATAGAGTTGAAGTGGCACGGATTCGGACTTATTGCAATTTTTAATCACCATAGTAAATGTACCAAACAAACAATAATACAACAGATGTAAATATTAAAGTAATAACGTAATTTTGTTTAATGTATAAAAACACAATCTTATTAGGTAAATAACTTGAATAGTCTTTCAACCTTTACCAATGATTTTGTAGAAAACATGAAGCCGGCAGTTTGTAATTTCCAGTGAATTACAGACAAGTTCCGGCTACACGATGTGAAACTCATGTAACGTACTACTTGTTTATCTCATTACCTAAATTAATGGCTTAAAAGATCACTCAAACCAACTAGTCCATGGAGAAGGAATGGATTAGATAATATGAGGAGAGAGTGTGTAAGTGAGAGGTCCTGAATTTGAGATTTCTCACTTTTACAGTAAAAGAAAAAAACTATTATTGGTTCCTTTTATTATTCATAAAAGGATACTATTCATGATAATATATTATAACATAATATATATGCTTGAATCAGATTTGTTAAAGGAGTTGCTATCATTTTTTGATAGTTAAACCGGTCAAAGATTCCATATTTATCAAACCACTAAACTAGAACATTTTGTTTACTTTATAAACTCGGGAAGGGCCAAATTTGCATTGAACTAAATCTTAATGGAGAAAAATGAAAATTTGTCTTTAATTGAATTTGTCCTTAGGACCAAGTGAAATCAAATTAAAAATTTTAAGGGCCTAATAGACTCTTTTAAAATTATCAAATTAGTGAACTATTTAATAGTTTTTTTACTATTGAAAAGAGTTGATATGCCTTAATTTTAAATTTAAAGGGAAAAATAGACATTAAAGCTAACTTTAGAGGATAAAGTGAAAATACCATACTTAGACCATTTAGAACCAAATCTATAAGTTGAGAGATCTAACAGATTGTTTTAAAATCAAAGACCAAATAAGACTACTGGTAAAAGTTGAGGGAATACTGGACTCATTGACCCAATTTTGTCATCGGTTGAAAGTTTCATCCCATAATCAATTTCATTCACCTAAGTTTAAATTAAACATATCTGAACCACAATTATATTTTTCCATTACAATTGTAGAAATCCAGACCCAAGTACTTAGAACCATCTACACAGAAATGAAATTCAGAAATGAATCTTGACTGTTGGTACTATTAAATCTACTCTCACCATTTGACAGATTTTTTTTTTTTTTTTTTTTTTGGGGTGTAATCAACACATTACTCTAGCACCACTTGCTTCTTCTATTTCGTTGGCAAACAAGTTTATTTTAAAGAGCACCAATTAAATACAATTTCATAGATTGGTAAGCTATCATTTGCAGCCTACAAATGCTTTAGGAGCAGCATTTGGCCTTGGGTAGCACAAAAGAGTTGCCTCTCATGATCCCTTCCATTTATGGAAAGGACAGTCTCAAAGAACGAATTTTACATGTCTAATTATTTTGGCACTCCTCAAAATGACAAAACTAACCAAATTTATATTTTGTGGCTATTTAGATTCCAAAGTCACCCATAAACGTAAAGGGAAAAAATTTATTTCAAACTGTTGATTTCGCGTATTCGTAAATATCACTATTTGATAGAAAGTAATATAATTTGCAAAAAAGAGAAAAAAAAAGAACTAACCCTTGAAAAATATTGAATGAAGTCAAAGCACAAGAAATATCATGCAAAAATTTGGAAAATGGAACCAAAAAATTCCAAATTCATGAAGAAGAGAGTTTTAAAAAAATTTGTTAATGGGATATGGGTTACTATTTATGGATTAAAATAACTAATACTTTATCGTTATGACTAAATCACCCTTGTAACAATGAGTATGGATGTCATATCCAAATATGCACATATATACTCGAATGGGCACATACGAGTGCTAATATGTGCACATAAATATAGTGTCTAACTTTTGCTTAAAACATAATTTTTCTTACAACTTATGAACGGTAACCCATACCTTATTTACAAATTTCAAATGTTACACCCATCTTACGAATTTTCAATTTCACAATTTGCTTAGACAGATCATTTCCATAATAAGTTCACCAGTTTTAAGAAAGATGAAGCCCATTTTAATCCAAAAAGTAGGTTTTTTAGCGATTTAATGCCTTGAAAATATTTGTAAATTCATAAACAAACAAAAAAAGATACTTGCGAAGCAGACAAAATGTATGAACTTAAACACAGGAGGGCAATCTTACAACACAAAATCATAGCTGGCCATTTAAGTCATTTTCATTACTGACAAAGCCATAAAGGAGTACTTTTTTTTTTTAATAACAACTAGGGGAGTGCCCATGCATTGCTCAGGTGTTTAGCGTCTATGGTTAAAGAGAATTTTTTATTGAATAAATAATAATACATCCTGAAAAAAAATAGTCATCAAATATGACAAAATTAATAATAGTACATTCTAATTGCAACACACACTTGTATACTTTATTTTATTAATACTTTTATAATTTTATCATTCCCAAAAGGCCCCGCAAATGTTAGTTGAAAATCGCCCAAGAGCAAACATAAGTTGTTTCAGACAAAGAAATATCCTCCAACAGCTAATTATAGCATAACGTGTTAATATGTCTTTATGTTAATTGCACAACAAAAGCCACATTTCAATTAAATATGTCTATAACATCATTTCAATAATTACACCAATACATAAACTTATCTGAGTTGTACTCAATGCAAAAATGGTTGCAAAATAATTTCATATTCCAAAAAATACCAAATGTCTCCATAAATCAAAGATTTAAATGTACCAAAATGAGGGTGTTTCGGTAAATATACCTAAACATATGCTATTCTCAGTTGTACCAAAAGTTTTAAAAAACTACACAACATTTTATATTCCCAAAAAATCCCTATCCATGCAGTTGAAATCAAACTCCCTTTAACCACAACTCATTATTATATAGTATAACGAAACATATTTCATTAATAGATTATTGGAAATCATCCAATACGATTGATATATATTGCTGCCCTAATGGCAGAGAAAACATGAACTAAAATTGTAGATCTATAATTTAATAGATACAAAGACCTGTGAAATTAAAAACAGATCTAAAAAGTATCATAAATTTTAAAATCATCTCCTCATAGAATAAATTGCTGCAGCCCACTCTGTGTATGTTGCAATCATCAAATCTGTTAATCAACAATTGTAAGTTTCAATAAAAATGATGAGATCTGCCAAAATAAATCCAAATCTGAAACAAATTCAGATCTAACAACTAGATCTAAAGTAAATTCAAATTTAAACAATAAAATAAGAAAAAATAACACAAAATCTCACTAGGAACTCCTAGGAGAACAGAAATTCTCACTAGGAACCCTAGGAGAAATAGACATCTCCTACTAAAAAAATTTAGAGGAGACTTTATTAGGAAAATGACAAAAATGAAACCTATAGGAGGAAGAGAGATTTTGAGAAAAGAATCAGTAAAGAGAAGTTGGAGAAGAGAGAGAAGTCATAAAGGAGTACCTAACCATATTTGAAAACTATATTTGAAAAGCCAAGATCGTTAGCAATTTAAGAAAATGTACACCTTAAATAACTAAATGTACAAATTTGCATAAACATACAAACATGTAGATTTTGAAATTATCTTGGTCCGAATTCAATTATTTGAACCGCACAAGGCATTGACTTGGATACACTACGGTCCAAACATTACGCCAATCACTTTGTAATTTACTGTTTTGTTTTTGGTAGAAATAAGAGTGTTGTTTATTTACAAGCAATGATTAGTTGAGTCTATGCGGTTAATCCCTACAATGTATGCAAAAGCTGGCAACTTAATCTAATATGTGGTAAATTACAATGATTGAGTTTAGCTGATGATCATGAGATCTCTCATCCGACTTTCCCTTTTCCTCTTTCTTTTCGTAACAAGAGTGTGTTTGGATTGCAATTTTTCTTTGAAAAATTATTATGTTTTCGTTAACATATTTTTTAATTATATTTGTATCTCATATATATTAAATCGCTGTAGTAATTTTTTTATAAAAAAATTCAAAAAATACAATCCAAACAAAGCCTCTAACCTAACAAAAGCCTCGATAAAATGCAATCACCTTTGTAGAGTCTGTAGTTAGATATAAAAAAATTCAAAAAATATAATCCAAACAAAGCCTCTAAGCTAACAAAAGCCTCGATAAAATGCAATCACCTTTGTAGAGTCTGTAGTTAGATTCGACAAAAATAAAA